CTCTTGGCCAAGGGGGGTGTTGTCAAGCCCCCCCAAATCAACTACGCATTGGATAAGTTTATGAAATAGCGCTCAATTTTTCCCTGGCCAAAAAAAGCCCCCTGCCCCCAATAGAAGGGAAATTTTTTTTAAAAAAAGCCAGTGTGTATTTTTTTTAAATTTCTTTAAATAAAGCATTCCTCCCTTGTTCCAAGGTTCGTTCCAGTTAATGGCCCTTCATCCCACCGGCGTGAAGATTTGTTTGGGGAAAAAACAAATCCGAAAAGCTTTATTAGGGCTTTGTCTGTCTGATTTCTCGGTTTTTTCTTCCCTGTTGTGTTTTAAACCATCCGTTTTTATTTTTTAACTTTTCCTACGCTAATAAGAGAATCCTCCCCCCAGGAACAGTTTAGTGGGTTGGGAGCCAATCCAGTCACCACATTCACACATCACACCAAGTCATGGCTTAGTGGGTTGTGTAAACAAATGCAAAGATGACAGATTGTTCTCCATGCGTGTAGATCCAACCCCGGCATATGAAAAAGCTTATCTTACGCACTCGGAAGAACGTCCTTTCCTCATTTCCCTCCCGTTTGGCTTCTCAAAGCTAATAAAAAGGACTAGTGAGAAATTTCAGGCTTTGAAATTCTTTGAAAACAAGCCCGCACCCCCAGCAGAAACAAACTTTGTCAAAGGTCACTGGTAAAACAAACTTGAATTTACTGAAAAGCTGAGTTTAAAAAGTGAAAGGGTTGCCAGTAAGAGGCCTGTTTTAAAAAAAGAAAAGAGAATGTAATCTTCAGCTCTGGATGAGATAAGCACAGGTAATCCTTGCTTAACTACCACAGTTTGGGAATGGAATTTAGGTTGCTAGGTGATACAGTTGTTAGGCGAATCATCACGTGACCAGACCTGACTTTAGAACCTTTTTTGCAGTGGTCATTAAGCGAATCACAGAGTTCCCCATTGATTTTGCTTGCCAGAAGCTGGCTGGGAAGGTTGCAAATGGTGATCATGTGACCTTGGGACGCTGCAACCATCATAAGTGCGAGCTGGTTGTCAAGCACCCGGATCACAATCACATGACTGCAGAGGTGCTGTGACGATCATAACTTCAGGCACCAGTCATAAGTCACTTTTTTTAGAGCCGTCGTAACTTTGAATGGTCGCTAAATGAGGACTACCTGTAACTGGACGTCTGTAAGAATGTGTTTGCATCTGACAGACCAGAACATGCGTGGTCATCATCCTTCCATCTCCTACCAAAACCCCAGTCATACTTCTGACCAAGGGCTCCTTTTTCAAACGACAGTTCCTGGGCTTGAATGACATGAACTTGGGGTTCAGCATTTTGTGCAAACCCAGGACATAAAGATAAATCAGCAAGTACTGTGAGAAAGTCCATCTCTTCATAAAGAGGCCAGCTCTTTGGAGACATCAGGACACTTTAAACATTACAGCCTACCTCAGCTCAACCAGTGAGTGAGTCAAGTACCTTCGAACAGTATAAAATGCGAAACTCGCGCACACACATACGTCTTTCAAAGTCATCACGCTGCATGGTT